CCCCCCCACCACCACCAATGGGCTTGGAACACAGGATAGGGTTTCCTGTTGGTAGATTTACCTTCCTAACTGCATCAAGGTATGATCCAAGCATCAAAAGAGAGTTCCTGGGGGTCTGGGAGACAGACTGCAGCCATAATAAGTGATGAGGAAATTCAGCTCAAGGTTTCTCATGTGCTGCACAATTTACAGGAAAACACTAGGATAAAGAGGAAGACTGAGAGAAGGGAAGGGGGAGAACAAACTGAAAGACCAGAACACGGCAAGGTTCCATCAGAATCTAGAACACACTGAAAAACAATGGTCATAACTGGGAAGCCAATTATTCAGACCAAAGTGATAAAAAGGAGACACAGAAATAGAAAGGCAGAAGATTATTCATTTTAGTAGCTCAGTGTTTGGCACACATCCCTACATAAATCATCCTAAAAGTCATCTGAGGTAGACAAATGTTAGGAAATGAACTGAGTTCACGTTAAAAAATAAAAAAAATAAGGAGGCACTGAGGAGAGGCCCTATCTTGAATACTACCATCAAAAAAAAAAAATCCAGTTTTTTGTAAAAATCCTTTTTGGTAAAGTACTTAGATGCTAGCCATTTTACTCCTACATTTAATCATTGAGATTAAGTATCTGACAGCTAAAGGATGAAAGCCAAGTGGGACCCTTCAAAGAAAGCCGACCAAAGTTCACAGCAAGTTCATAACACTTTATAACTCGTCTACTTGGACTGCATTGCTTGCCCCTGCTCAGTGTTGCAAGTGGGCGCTCCACTGGACTCCCCTGCAGTCTCCATGATTCCCTCAGACGTGATGCCCCTCCCCCATAAGTCCCACCACACTTGTACACTGCTGTCATTGTGTTGTCTGTCAGCAACTCAAAGGCACACACAGAAAACCCAGTCTCTCCATTTCCGAATCTTTAGGACCTACCATTCCGTGAGTACTCATTAGTCAAGCGCCCATCTGACTTGCTCTCTCAAGCAGCTCATCTGATATAACAAGAAAAAACCAGGGGTTTGCAGTTCTTCACATAAAATCCAATAAATTATCCTGAAAACCCACTTTTATTCCTTCCCCTCCAAGGAAGAATTAGTCTGCCAAGACAAAGAAGTAGGTTACGAACTTAGTTCCTCTTTCTGACTCCATTTTTTTAGTTACATTATTTGCATTAAAATATCCTTATGTATTTACTAGTAAAATTAAGTCACGAGAATGGCAACAACACATACGATTCTTAATAACATAAAAACAAGTTGTTTTGATACCAGGTAAGGTAAAAATAAAGGAATTCCTGTGCTTGAACATTATTTTTAAGCACTTAATGAATTTGAGAATATGAACTTTCACTTGAAAGATTTCCAGGGAAAGAAACATGATGGATGTTATGAAGGGAACTAGCCATTCAAAGGGACGTATTTCTGTACTTGTTTTGCTCCAATTTCTGCCACATAGATTGCTCCAGTCTTCCCACTGACGTCTAAGAGATGAGGTAGAACTTGATCTGCCAGTTGGATTGAGCTGACCACAGAACAGCTGCCGATGCTTCCTACCGGGGGCGCTGCCACAAACAAGAGCCTGCTAAGATTCAGCTGGGCAACAATCACGTACTTCCCGTCAGGAGTAAATCTAAGGAGAAAGGCATCGCATAANTTGTCTGTCAGCAACTCAAAGGCACACACAGAAAACCCAGTCTCTCCATTTCCGAATCTTTAGGACCTACCATTCCGTGAGTACTCATTAGTCAAGCGCCCATCTGACTAGCTCTCTCAAGCAGCTCATCTGATATAACAAGAAAAAACCAGGGGTTTGCAGTTCTTCACATAAAATCCAATAAATTATCCTGAAAACCCACTTTTATTCCTTCCCCTCCAAGGAAGAATTAGTCTGCCAAGACAAAGAAGTAGGTTACGAACTTAGTTCCTCTTTCTGACTCCATTTTTTTAGTTACATTATTTGCATTAAAATATCCTTATGTATTTACTAGTAAAATTAAGTCACGAGAATGGCAACAACACATACGATTCTTAATAACATAAAAACAAGTTGTTTTGATACCAGGTAAGGTAAAAATAAAGGAATTCCTGTGCTTGAACATTATTTTTAAGCACTTAATGAATTTGAGAATATGAACTTTCACTTGAAAGATTTCCAGGGAAAGAAACATGATGGATGTTATGAAGGGAACTAGCCATTCAAAGGGACGTATTTCTGTACTTGTTTTGCTCCAATTTCTGCCACATAGATTGCTCCAGTCTTCCCACTGACGTCTAAGAGATGAGGTAGAACTTGATCTGCCAGTTGGATTGAGCTGACCACAGAACAGCTGCCGATGCTTCCTACCGGGGGCGCTGCCACAAACAAGAGCCTGCTAAGATTCAGCTGGGCAACAATCACGTACTTCCCGTCAGGAGTAAATCTAAGGAGAAAGGCATCGCATAACAAATATATGCAAAATTAACATAAATGTTTATTTTCTCAACATTTTTATCCCCTATAGTACTAAACAACAGGCACCCACTTGCTGAAGGTTTTTCTTTTCCTAGTTATTTTATTGGCCCTTTTGGTTGATACATTATTTGCAGCAGCACATTTTCTAGATTCATAATATGTTGGATTGGTTTTTAACCACCCCCGGTATATTTACAATGTAACACACACACACACACACACACACACACACACCCAACAACAAAAAAACAAGTAAAAAGCTATCACAGTGTTTCACATAAGAATTTATATGCCAAACTGCTTACTGATTGATTTATTCTATAAATACTGAGCTCCTAATGTGCCTACACTATTCTAGGTGCCAAGAATTCGGTTGTGAGCAAGAAACTCAAATATCTACTTTCTTGTCTTTATATTCTAGTGGGAGAATAAACAAAGAAGAAATAGATAAGAGATGAAATAGAATGACAAGTAATTATAGAGGCCATGATGAAACTTTCAGTGAGTCAAGGGATACAGTGGCAGTGGGGTGTTTCTGAGGGTTAGGCATGGGAGCTGGCTACCATAAACAAAGGGTATTCACCAAGAGCAATAATCGAGGGGCTCAGAGAGAAGGCCAGAAGGAGTGCTGAACAGTTCTTTTAACGAGAACTTTAAATTGCTCTAATTCTGTTGATGAGGGAACAAGAGATTTGTGATGACAGTCCAGCCAAAGATTAGCTTAAGTTAAAAAGATAATAATAAGGGTAAAGGCGGTAGGGAAGGCCCAGCATACATGATCTCTGATGCTGGGTCGCACAGTGAGCGCGCTGGCCGTGCAATGGCCTAAAATTTGAAATATGATTACATGTTCTCTTAATACTTGGTTCTTTCCCCTCTTTCCCTGCTTAAAATTAACAATATTTTACACTTCAGCTAGCTCTTCAGAGAACCTAACATAAAGCAAATAAAACAAGCATTTAAAAATTTTTTAAAAAGCAATTACCTGACTGAAGAAGGTCCCTCTTCTGTGAAACAATTACTCCATGCTCCTAACCACTCCCCACTGTCTTTATCAAATACTTGAATTCTTTTATTTCCTCGGTCAGCAACCCACACCTGAAAAGCCACAAAACAAAAAAAGTTTACTTGGAGAGAGCTACATCATAATGAGAAGGAAGACGAAAGACGGGGAGAGGATGAATGTTTATTTTCATTAATTTCACATACATTACCTCATTTAGTGCTTAGAGGACCCCAAAGAATAAGGTATTAAAAGTCCCATTTTCAGATAGAAAATAAAAGTTCAGAAAGGTTAAAATATCATGTTGGAAGTGAGCTTACAAGTGGGAGAACCATTTATGGCCATCTCTATGAACCCAAAGCCTATAATGCTGTGGCTGCTAGACTAAACATTTGAATAACTAAAAAAACAGGAGTACTCCAATATAATACAGAGGATTTGTAGATACTGAAGCAACAGCATTCATTCATTCCTCTAACCAGCAATCACTTTCACTGAGTACTGCCAGCTTGTCAGTTCCTGGGCCAGGAAATAAAACAAAAACGAAGAAAAGCAACCTTGCTCCTCAGGAGCTGAGGCTAAGAGGAACCCAGGTCTTCATTCATACTGCAATATCATTAAAATATCATTAAATCTCTACTTGCTATATATATACCAAGGTATGTCCAAAGTGCCAAACCACTTAAAGAGGAAGCTTGGGAGATTTTAGTAACACATAAAGAATGACAGTAGGGGGCTGGGGGCTGGCCAAGTGGCACGTTGGTTAAGAGCTGGCTTGGGACGCCAGAGGGCCCTGGTTCGGATCCCACATATGAGGGCCAGTGACACTGCCCTCTATAGCTAAGATGCTGAACAACAGCTCAACCTGGAGCTGGGCTGCTGTGAGTCGCGGGCCACGCTGTAGGCTGCAGCCCCTGCTACAGTGGGTTGCCATGGGCTACCGTGTGTAGCCAGCAGCCAGCGTGAGCGGCCAGCAGCCGCAGTGAGTGGCCGTCCAGAAGCCGGCGACTGATGTGCCTGGCCCAGGAAGAGCGCAGTGATGGTGCCAACTTGGGCCAGTGAAGCAACGTCCTCCACAACTAGACTGAAGAACAAAAGGACAGCAACTTGTCTGTTCCCCTTCCCCCAATTCCCCAATAAAAATCTTTAAAAAAAAAAAAAGAATGATAGTAGGCTAACAATAGGTTTAATTTAGGTTTGCTATTGGCTATGATGAGTTATTAAGGAAACTTGTTATAAAACAGGAATGTACACTCTAAATGACATTTCAAGTATTGTACTTGATCACTGCAACCTATGGCATACACACAGTAAAATGGTTTGGAATGACACGTGGCTCGGGTTGTAGGGAGCTATATGTAAGAATGGGCTGGAAGTGTGGGCCAACCCCACTGACCTGCACTTCCCCACGTCAGGATCTTCAGATTTCTTAGGTTTGTGGATTCAGGAACTAGTTTTTCAGGGCAGCCTTGACTATATCTTTTTCAAAGCGTGTGAATTTTGGTAGTCACTGAATTCATCTCCAGTCAGAAATACAGACTAACTGCATTGCTTTAGAAAGGCTTTTAATCCTTAATTATTTTCTAAAATTTTTTTCCGGTTTTTATGGATTTTTTACTAAGGGTGGGTTTCCTTAAAGATTTTGGGATTCCTGTCTTACTGACCAAGGAAGAAATATAGTTTAGTCCCTAGGACTGAAAGACATTTGAGATTGTTAGCATTATTTCCCCTACTCAGTGGATTTTGATTGTGAGAAATTGTGTCTAAGAAACAAGTTTAACTCTGGAACTAATGATCTTATTTCATATAGGGTTGTGATGATGATTAAATGAATTAATCATGTAAAATGCTCCGAGCAGCATGGCTGTTTTTATAAAAACACAAGTATGTAGAAATAACTCTTTCATTTTTCATCACTCAGTAATGCCAGAGCATCCCTATCAAATCATCTCCAAAGCCTCTCCAAAGGACATTTCTCATGATGTTGAATTGACCTGGACCTAGGTCTTGGACGCTCAGAAACTTGGTATTGTTCTTATCCCATGAGGAGAGTAGTTAACTCCAACTTTCTAGTTTCTAATTTACATACAAAGTTCAAATGTTAGTTATCTTCCTATTTTTGATGGGAAATACTTAAAAGATTTTATGATCAAAACATGTCACTTTGTCAACACAGGAAGCCAAATCATAATCCAGAAAATTGCTTGCTGAGCACAGAAGAAGTGGAAATGGATTAAATTTCCAACGGCATGAAACCAAGATAGCCTGACGCATTATCCACTGTGCGGCAAGACATTTAGTCATTTAACGAACGTGCGTAAAATGACTACCACGTGCTAGGCACTAGATATAAAGCTAAAGAGATTCAGTATGTGCCCTCCTACAGTCCCTACACTCTGTTAGGGGAGACAATTAAATTGCTCTATTATAGCATGATAGTTATTATAATGGGAACTACAGGCTACTATAGGGAAACAGAAGGATAACCTAAAAGAAAACATTTTGGGTTTGGTTATAGGAAGGGAATCCCAAAGAAGTGATATGCATGTTTATAGGTGTGTAAAAGCAAAAGTGGTCGTAGTAGATATTGGTGGAAAAATAAGAAACGGATTGTAATTTGTTGGCTAAAGCTTTCTGCTCCCTCGAAAAGTATAGCTAGTAAAATCAAGAGTTTGCCTAGGTGGCTCTGTTTTTTTTAAGCTTCCAAGATTAACCTCTTCTATCTCCCTTTTGATCAATACATTCTAGAATTAACTTAGTTTAATTCTAGATTTTAAAATATATTTGAATACTCA